CCCCAAAACCCCAAAACCCCAAAACCCCAAAACCCCTGTACTTGAATTAATAATTGAAATGGTCTAAATTTAGATAAAATCTCTATTGGCATTACAAACTTCTTGGAGCATATTTATGAAAGTTTTATGGCATGAATTTATTCCAGAGGTTTGGGTGAAGTTAATTCTCCTTATCTGCCAAACTAGGTTTCTTTCTTTAACAAAAGAAGGAATCAGAGCATATATCAAGCCTTGTTAGGAATATATCAATTATAACTCTGATTTGTAGAATAAAGGTTTCAGTTGGAATTTTGAGTTAGAATGCCTTATTTTAGGCTTCTGAAAAACCTTGATGATATCTCTCTTGCTTAAGGCGTTAGAATGATTGTTGGGCTTCCTAAGTTTCTTAATTTTGGAGATCTTCCTTTCTGATTTGAGGTTATCTATAAAATCGTTTATTACATTTAATCAAATAAGAAATTTCCCAGTTACAACTTTTTATAAAGAAGAAGCATTCTTACCTTTAACCACAGGGAAATGGGTCAATTCTTGTTGTGACTTTCTATCTTTGGTCTTTTGCCTATAATAAAATCAGATATTTTCTTCTACAAGAGTTTAAATGCAAAGACACAAATTTCTGATAAAACTGATCATTTAGAATTCACATGTTTTGATCATTAAAAATACCTGGTCTTTCATACGCACCAATTTAGCAATTTTTACAGAGATAAAAAGAAAATTGGTAGACTGCCTTGCTCTTGTAATTTCAGTTTCGTAATATTAACCAGGAAAGAACTAGTTTCAAAGTAGAAAACTGAAGATATAGAAACTGTCATATAATTTATACGCTCCAGGGTCTATTAGAACATAAACATTCTGGTAAAGATATTGCTATTGTTGGCCTAACTATTCTTTTTCCACTATAGAGCCACAGTTAATAGGGTTCTTTCACTTGCTGCCTCAGGCTTATAGAGAAACAGCTTGATTATTTATTAACGAATCAGTTTACAACTAAGCAATGATGATAAATCGATTACTTTATGTCTGTCTTGTTGAGTGTTCTACTTTTTTCAGATTCCCATGCATATTTTTGAGCTACAAATAAGTCTAAAACTCTTATTCCATAATTGTTTCCTCTTCTTAGCCTTTTCAAGCTCTTCTCATAAAGATCTGGGGATGGTTTAGAGGAAATAAATTCGTCATAAGTAAGATTCTCAAGTCTATTTCCTGAAAACTTTCATGTTGTGCTTGACTAGCTTGCTTAAGCTCATTATCTGCTTCTTTTGGGATGGCTATATACAGATTAGCACAGATGATCATTTAGGCAATTTATGACTAAGTGAAATCAGTTATGAGCTTAACTGTTATAATGAGACCCTGACCTGACTTTCTTAAAAGACCCAAAAATTTGGAAGAATACAAAATGATATTTAACTTGAAGACTTACCTTATCTTTATCATAACGTTTGAAACTTTTCTCAATCTGTTCTCTTGCGGTCTTTAAGTGTCTAATACTTCCCGCTGCTTCTTCTGAATAATTCTTTTGTTCATTATCTTTATCTCAGTTTTCCGCTCCTCAAACGTATGAATGCATGATCTGAGACTTATTTTGTGCTCCTTTTCTTATATTTTTCTTGTTTGCTAATCTTTGTGAGCTCTTGAGCTTGAGCATTTTGCTATTTATTCTCAAGTCTAACATTGGATTTTTGGTCTGGCTTAAGTTCCTCCCTTGTCTCCTTTGGTCTGTAGTCATTCATGAAATAAGGTCACTAAGTGTTTTTCGAGTGTTTTTAGTGAGGCTTTTGGAAAAATTTTCGTTTGGGATGTGTAGAGAGTATTTATTACTCTGAAACTGATGACCTATATCTCCAAGTTTACAAGGAATAATGAAATAGTCATATCGAACAGATCTTGATTGGATTAAAAAAAGAAACTTGGTTGAATTTAAATAATTAAAAGAAACATTTAGGATGGGTTGGTTTTACCTTTAATGTTATTGCAATGAGAAATATTGTCTTCTGATTGCTTTCGAACAGGTGTGTTCAGGATTTGTTTGGGGGAATCTTTAGGTTTTTTGCATGGCTTGGGGTGGATTTTGAATGAGTTTGTGAATATTTCTGGTGAAATTGTCGGATTGAAATTTATAGTCACTTTAGAAGCTATCATAAATTTGTGAAGATTAATTTTATTTCTATTCAATTTTATCCGGTTTAATGGGGTTTTGGGGTTTTGGGGTTTTGGGG